TTTCTTACATTTCTGCCAGGTTAGAAAAATGATAGATGATGGAGGAGCAACAGGCCATTTGATCATTATTCATCTGTTCTTGAAATTTACACAGGGCCCTGGTGGTGCAACAGTTAAGCACTCACTGCTAACCAAAAGGTCAGTGATTCGAACCCACCAGCACCTCTGCAGGAAGAAAGACCTGGCGATCTGTTCTTGTGAAGATTACAGACTAGATGGGAGCAGGGGAAACCTTTACACAAATATTATATCAGGCCTTCTTCTCTATGGCTTGTTGAAGGTGGGGCAGTCTGCCCAGCTTAAACCAAGAGACGGATGTCTCTGTCCTCCTCACCTGAGGTTTCTTTCCTTGGAAGCAGATCACATCTCAGAGAGGGAGACAAAAAACACCACCTCGTTGCTTCTAAATCACTGGCAACGTCACATGGGGTCTCTGTCCCCTTGCTAGCCCTCAGTTACCTTGCACTTTCCTAACAGACAGAATCCTTTAGCAGAAATCCCATCTGTGGGCTAGCCACAGATTGCTTTCTAGCTGAGTGGATCATTTTTAACGCTTCAATAACCTTTGAGCAGCATCACTGTGAAAAGTTAAAATGCTGGTGTGGTACTTAGCAAAAACATTTCTAAGTAACACGGCTTATAACAGATAAACCCCTTGCAGTAGAGTCAATTCCAACTCATAGCGAACCAAAATCAACTTGATGGCAGCGGGGTTTTGGTATAACAAATAAAGGTTTGCATAGCAGTACTTCTAGCCTGATGTTACCACCGTGGCAAACCATGCTTTTCCAAGCACATCTTATAGAAATTTGAATCACCTTGTAGGGAAGAGGTTGCAGTGGAAATTAAACAGAATTCCCAAAGATCTATTTGGAAGAAGAAGGTAACTGAATAACAAACTGAAGAGGGAAGTCCACCTGTACTCTCCAGTCTAATAACTGGGACAAAGCCTCCTAAGAACTGAGGCAAAGGTTAAACCAAGAAAGCAAGGACTGCTGTCTCCTGTAACCTCTTCAACAGCTGACAGCTACTGGAATTGCACCTTTGCTCCACCTCTGCACTGCCAATAAAGCTTCACAGTTGCCTGACTGAGGAATTCAGACCTAATTGGAGAAAATGCTGACAGCAGCAGAGATGAGCTCTTCTCTACCAGTGACCTCTGTATTCGGGACATTAATTTTGAGAGTCTTTGGGTTTTGCCTTTTTTAAAAAACAAAATGGAACTAATACTTTAAAAACAATTAAAATTCAGTGTGCTATCTTGAAGTTTTTTTTTTTTTTTTTTGAGGATTCAAGTAATTTATTGTTTTGCAGCCCAGTGGCAGAGAGTTTCATACTCAGGTTGCTAAAAGGAAAATGTCACAGCAGAACTGCCTCCCTTCTCCAAAGCAACAAGGCATCTTGAAAGCTCAACTTCCTGGTGAAGTTTTATGGTTGGTAGCAGGACTTAGTTCATCCATGTGAAAAGACAGTTCAGTCTGGGATGAAAACTCTTCAAAGGAAAACCTCCCCTCAACAGTCAGAGAAATTTCAGCCAACACATAACCAAATTCACTTTTGGGAGAAGTCCATCCCAAAATTGTGCAGTGGGACAAGAGGTAGTTACAGTTACCCAGCCCATATTCACTGCTTTGTTCCTTCTCTGGATCAGATGATAGTTTGAGGAGAAGTCCTTCTACATTCACGTTGTATGCCAGGGAAGATGAACAGAGGCAAAGCAGAGTCTTGTCCTTAACAGATTCATTTTGGTTCTGGCAGACCGTGAGCCTTAAGCATCCTATTCCCACTGTCTTTGCTATAGGATCAGACAGAGCTGCTCTTCCAGGAATCAGCACCCATACTCATGTCTGTCAGTTAAATCTCCTTGGCTTAGTAACTCCTGTAGATTTACTGCAGTTAAGACAGAAACCTCATATGACTGCCTCCCTGACTGCGTGGGCACCAAGTAATGTGTCACATCAGACACTGAAGACAGGGAACGTGGGGATTCTTCAGCGAGCACCCCAGTTTGCTCCTCTCCTTGACTCCCAGCTGCTCCCATCTGTAAGTGATACTTTCTCATGTGCACACTCCTGCTCCCACTCTGACAAAAGGTCTTCCCACAGACTAGGCACTGATGAGGTTTCTCTCCTAAGTGAACCACCAGATGTTTTCAGAGGTTAGACTACTCAGCAAAGGAGTGGCCACATCCTTGGGCTTCACAAAGGAATGGCTTCTCTCCTATGTGGGTGTGTAGGTGATTCTTCAAGTTTCCAGCTGTAGTGAACTGCTTACCACAGCTAGACTCAGGGCACATAAACGGCTTCTCCCCATTGTGGTCCTTATGTGTACCTTCAGCCTCTGCAGCACACAGAAGCTTTTCCCACAATCTTCTGCAGGGCAGATGAAGGAGTGGTCATTTTGATGAGTTTTGAGGTGGTACTTGAAGTGAGCTGGCCACACAAATGTCCGGTCACAGCCTTCAACT